ATACTTTAAAGACCCAAAAAACTCTACTCACAAGCTTCTAAATACCATCAACAGCTATAGCAAGGTAGCTGGATATAAAATCAACATAGAAAAATCATTAGCATTTCTATACAGTAACAACGAACAAACTGAGAAAGAATGTATGAAAACAATTCCATTTACAATAGCCTCAAAAAAAAAAATCAAATACCTAGGTGTAAACTTAACAAAGGATGTGAACGACCTCTACAAGGAAAACTATAAACTTCTGAAGAAAAAGACTGAGGAAGACTATAGAAAGTAGAGATCTCCCATGCTCATGGATTGGTAGAATCAACATAGTAAACATGTCTATACTCCCAAAACTAATCTACATGTTTAATGCAATTCCCATCAAAATCCCAATGACATTCATCAAAGAGATTGAAAAATCTACCGTTAAATTTATATGGAAACACAAGAGGCCACGAATAGCCAAGGCAATACTCAGTCAAAAGAACAACGCCGGATGTATCACAATACCCGACTTCAAACTATATTACTAAGCAATAACAATAAAAACAGAATGCTACTGGCACAAAAACAGACATGAAAACCAGTGGAACAGAATAGAGGACCCGGATATGAAGCCACACAACTATAACCAACTTGTCTTTGACAAAGGCGCTAAAAATATACGATGGAGAAAGACAGCCTCTTCCACAAAAACTGCTGGGAAAACTGGTTAGCAGTCTGCAAAAAACTGAAACTAGATCCATGTATATCACCCTATACCAATATTAACTCAAAATGGATCAAGATCTTAATATCAGACCCTAAACTCTAAAGCTTGTACAGGAAAGAGTAGGAAATACTCTGGAGTTAGTAGGTATAGGCAAGAACTTTCTCAATGGAACCCCAGCAGCTCAGCAACTAAGAGATAGCATAGATAAATGGGACTTCATAAAACTAAAAAGCTTCTGCTCAACAAAAGAAATGGTCTCTAAACTGAAGAGACCACCCACAGAGTGGGAGAAAATATTTGCCAGCTACACATCAGACAAAGGACTGATAACCAGAATATATAGGGAACTCAAAAAACTAAATTCTCCCAAAATTAATGAACCAATAAAGAAATGGGCAAGTGAACTAAACAGAACTTTCTCAAAAGAAGAAATTCAAATGGCCAAAAAACACATGAAAAAATGCTCACCATCTCTAGCAATAAAGGAAATGCAAATTAAAACCACACTAAGATTCCACCTCACCCCTGTTAGAATAGCCATCATTAGCAACACCACTAACAACAGGTGTTGGCGAGGATGCGGGGGAAAAAGGAACCCTCTTACACTGTTGGTGGCAATGTAAACTAGTACAACCACTCTGGAAAAAAATTTGGAGGCTTCTTAAAAATCTAAACATTGATCTACCATATGATCCAGCAATAGCACTCTTGGGGATATACCCAAAAGAATGTGACACAGGTTACTCCAGAGGCACCTGCACACCCATGTTTATTGCAGCACTATTCACAATAGCCAAGTTATGGAAACAGCCAAGATGCCCCACTACTGACGAATGGATTAAGAAAATGTGGTATTTATACACAATGGAATTTTATGCAGCCATGAAGAAGAATGAAATGTTATCATTCACTAGTAAATGGATGGAATTGGAGAACATCATTCTGAATGAGGTTAGCCTGGCCCAAAAGACCAAAAATCATATGTTCTCCCTCATATGTGGACATTAGATCAAGGGCAAACACAACAAGGGGATTGGACTGTGATCACATGATAAAGCGAGAGCACACAAGGAAGGTATGAGGATAGGTAAGACACCCAAAATCTAGATAGCATTTTTTGCCCTCAACGCAGAGAAACTAAAGCAGATACTTTAAAGCAACTGAGGCCAATAGGAGAAGTGGGCCAGGAACCAGAGAAAAGGTTAGTTCAAGAAGAATTAACTTAGAAGGTAACACACATGTACAGGAAATCAATGCAAGTCAACTCCCTGTATAGCTATCCTTATCTCAACTAGCAAAAACCCTTGGTCCTTCCTATTATTGCTTCTACTCTCTCTTCAACAAAATTAGAGATGAGGGCAGAATAGTTTCTGCCTGGTAGCGAGGGGTAAGGGAGGGGTAAGGGAGGGAGCGGGGGCGGGGTAAGGGAGGACAAATGACCCAAACATTGTATGCACATATGAATAAAATAAAATTAAAAACAAAACAAAACAAAAACATCGCACAGTTTCAACAGTCAGTTGGTGACTATTTCATTAGTGCAGAGAGAGAGACTGTGAGTATGTGATACACCCCCTGACATTCTTAGAAGAGAAACAACTGTAACAAACAAAATGAGGGCTAGGAATGTAGCACATTGGTGGAAAGCTTGTCTAGTTACATAAAGCCCTAGATTCAACACCCAGCACTTCAAGGAAAAATAAAAAATGATGCTTCTTCACTAGAAAGCTGTGGATTTCTGTCACCCGTCACTATGTGGCTGCTGTCTTGTTGATGGTGCCTGCAACCTGGAGCTCCTACATACTCCTACATCTCCACTTTTAGAATGCAATGTGGATATTCAGAAGCTTTGTGAACAGTTTCCAGATTATAAAGAGATTGGGTCCCAAAAGCTTATCAATAAGATTTAGACTTCTAATATATCGTAACAGAAACAACAGCAATCATTATCTACAAGTTATATAATTAGGATTTCCAATAAGTCAATGATATTCTTCCATCATCTATCATCCCTCAACTGAATATAAAAATACACCTGCTATTAGTACTATACTAAAAATACTATACAAGTCAAAGAAAAGCACTGAGAGAGAGGGAGGGGTAGGAGAGGGTTTAGAGAATTCCAATTCAGGGAACAAGATTCCTTCAAATTCACTATTTTCTGAGTATCTACTATCTGCCAGATAAAGATGACAGAGTTCTTGCCCTTCAGATGTTCCCACTTTGAGAAGATAAAGACAACCACACAAATGCTTTATAAATTGCAATGACATGCAAGGACTGTCCTCTCTTTGGGTGTTATGCACACACTGGGGTATTATCTTCAGGTACCATGTGTTCATGACTATGAAGTTTATGACCCACTGAAGCTATGCAAAGTACGGTGTCTTTCTCAATATCTAAAGTAACCTACTTGTTGAGCTTTTTTTTAAATCTAAATTTATCTTTCATGTAACATTCAATAGAACTGTGGTGAGTAACTCTAGAAGGTGACAGGGATGCCTTTACCACCACACACTCTCAGTGAGTGAGTGGTGACTTCCATATTAGTAGGACTATTCATTTCTATGGCTCTCAGTTACCAAATCCTGCTTTACCGGGGGAGTTTCAGTAAGGAAGTTGCACATGTTTTGTATGTTGCTTTAGTGGGTCTCAAAATGCCCCTTAAAATGACCAACACATCCTTCAAGTAACTGCAATAAATTTTTCTATCTCTGTAAGATAGGCAGTCTACAAGGGAACAGTGTCAAGGTAGACTGGCCAAGGTCCTGGTTCCAAGACAAATCCAGAAGCCTGCTTTGCTGAGTCACTCGAGCTCGCTACTAGGCCCACACTTCAGCTGAGACTCACTCAGACTTCTCTCCCATGCCCCATGAATAGGCACTAATCCTCACTGCCATTTTACAATGAGGAGCTGAGCTAGCGAGGGTAAGTTATAGTCACTTTGGTGACTTCTCAGAAGGCTTTCCTTAAAACATTCTGCTTTGCATAGAGGCTTTGTGAACTATTTCCTACTGAAAGCAAGGAACTTCTAATAAAAACTTCACCATATAGAAAGGATAAATGTCTAATCTTTTATGGAGGTAAAATATATTTAACTTTGATAACGTGAAAGATATACAATGAAACATTCCATGGTACCTCCCATTAATATGAACAATTTTGATGTTTTTATGTATCAGTTAAAATGTTTTCGAAACCTAATGAACTTGCAAAGAACTGAGTATCTCCACAGGCATTTGCCATGGTGCAGAAGAAAGCTGCTCTAGAGTGATGAACAGGCCCGTGGCACTCTTCAGCTCTGATGGCCAACCCTAACAGCCCACCTTGGACATCCTGCCTGCTTTGAAGCGTTCCAATTAGCATTTCCCTTTGTCCTCCACAGCTCCTGAAGATGCCCTTGTTATAGGATGTGTCATGAAAGGCATTCATGGCAGGAAAAGAAAGCAGACAGCAATCAGAGGAGGAGTGGGGTTCAAAGAGCAGTGTTCAAACTACTGATGTCTGAAGTCAACAAAGTAAGTATTTCTTCTCAGTCTTTCATCTAGGATCAAGTGTAAAGTCAAAAGGTAAAACTTGTGTTTTGCGAACAGCAGTAATTTATGTATATGTCCATTACGGATTCATGAAATTATCCATTTAGCCAGCCAACAGTGAATCACAACTTTACTCTATATCAGAAAGTGGGGTCTATATGGGTTTGCTGGCATTCATCCTCATGTAACCCACTACCTTCTCTATCCAGCCACATCATTTTTCCTCTTAGAGTGTACATTTATGTGTCCCAACAGCTTCAGGCTCTAATTCTGTGCTTGTGACTGCTCATCCATATGCACATGTTATCTTTCCCCCCAAACCACTTGAAAACCACTTGTAGAATTGTGATCCTCTGGCCCAAAATGTTTCTACTGCCAGCTTTTAATAGATCTTTCTTCTATATAATCATCATGTCATTATCATGCCTGAGAAAATTAGAAAGTGTCTAATACCAAATTATCAAAAACATCACCCATAACTTTCCTTATTTATTCCACAACGATTTGCTGAATGAGTGGTCCCTCTACTAGAGTACTATGTCTCAAATTAGTGCCTGATTTGAAACACACAACCAGCAACAGAGGAACAACAGATTATCATTGCTGAGGTTCCAACACCTCTCCACTTCCACTTAGGAGCTTATTTAAATATCAATTTCTGGTGAATATTTTTTTTCTTTTTTGTACTGGGGTTTGAACTCAGGGCCTCATGCTTGTTAGACAAGTGCTCTCACCAGCCCTTTTCTGTTTTGGATATTTTTGAGATAGGGTCTCGTGAACTATTTGCCTGGGTAGGCTTCGAACCACGATCCTCCTGATCTCTGCCTCCTGAGTAGATAGGATTACAGGTGTGAGTCACGCCCCTTGGCATGGTAAATTTTTTATACAATATTAATTATTATTCCAGTTTAAAAATAAATGTCTAAGCCAGGTGAGATGATGTATGGCTGTAATCCTGGCACTGAGAGGCTCAGACCATAGGACTAGTTGAAGGCCAGCCTAGGCTACAAGGCAAAACCCTGTGTGTGTGTTGGTGGAGATGGGGATGGGGGTGAGGGGAAACTCTATTGTCTTACCCATCCATAAGCAGTGCTTCGCTCGTGCTCCTGAGTGACATCAGCCACATAGGCAAATATCACAGAGAATGTGACTGAGAAGACTCCAGACACAGAAATCATCGCAAAATACCACCTGTAAAAAATTATTTTAATTATCCAGGAAAGACTTTTACAACCAGAGTCAAAGATATCATGTAAAGATTATAAATGGAGAAATAAGCAAATACACATGTATATGTATGTATACTTAGAAAAAATGGAATACATCTAGAAAAATGAAAGAACAGAAGAGAAAGCAGAATTAAGTAAGGGGGTTAAATAAAATTTATAGTTTTAGGTAGCCAACAGAATGAAGTGTTTTCAAATTTCCCAGCTTTAGCAAGTAGAAGACATACAACAAATGACTTTTTTAAATCTACCCAAAAGCTGAAAGCATAACAAAAAATTCAAAACCATTAAGAACAAAACTTTCTACCATATGTATAAATACTGAAAAAAACCTAGTTAAAATATCAGCAGAGTATTACAGAAAAAGTTTATTCCAGAACACATGGATGTTGTAATATTACAAAATCTACTAATGTAATCAATCATACTAACAATTCTTTAGAAAAAGCAAATAATCTTCATTCATGATAAAAGAAAAAACCCCATCTATTAAAGTTTAATATCCAATCTTGATTTTGAAAAAGAAAATCTCTGGATAAAATAGTACTTTCCAACCCAAAAGCTAGCCTGAGTGTATTATTATAACACTCTCTTTGGTACATGGAGATAAGCCCACAATCATCATTGTTTAACATTATTCATTAGTCAACACAATTAGCAAAAGCAGTGAGCAGTATGAAAACTGGAAGGTAAAGGATGAAATTATTTACAGATTGACATTAACACACCAGAACGCCAACAATTAGAAGAGCCCATTTTTGCATTAGGTCAAAAAGGTTAACTTACCAACAATGCACAAAATCTAAAGGAAGAATTTGTTTGTTTGTTTGTTTATTTATTTATGTATGTATGTATGTATGTATGTATGCATGCATGCAGCGCTTAAGTTTGAACTCAGGGCCTTGTGCTTGCCAGGCAGGTGCTCTACCACTTGGGCTATGTCCCCAGCCCTTTTTGCTATTTTTGAGATAGGGTCTCGCTTTATGCCTGGCCAGCAATCCTCTATAACTTCCTGCTTAGCTGGGATGACAGGCACATGCCACCAAGACCAGCATTTATTGGTTGAGATGGAGTTTTGCAAACTTTTTGCCTGGGTTGCCTCAAATTTCTATCCTCCTGATCTCTACCTCCTGAGTCCCTAGGATTACAGGTTGAGTACTGCACTTGGCTAAAGAAACAAATTTTAAACAAACTAAAGACATTAAAAAAAACTCACTAGAAAAACATACATGTCTTGACATAAAATAATTATGTGGGTGCCCAAGAAATTAAGAATGTGACAAATGTTGGCATATATTCCTATCTGATAAACATGAAAATATTTTTTCATATGAACCATAAAAAAATCTGCTAATAACATTAAACAATCAAGCAAAAGCTGGGGCTGGTGGTTTACACTTGTAATTCTAGCTTGGGAGGCTGAGATAAGGAGATGGTGGTTTGAGGCTAACCAGGGCAATGTTCTCTTGACCTCATCTCCAAATAACCAGAATGGACCGGAGGTGTGGTTTAAGCAGCAGGTGCCTGTTGTGCAAGTGTGAAGCCCTGAGTTCAACCCCAGTGCTGCCAAAAAAAAAAAAAGAGAAAGAAACAGGAATACAACCAAGCTCATATCCCCCTGGCAATTAAAATGGGCCTTTAGTTACATATAAACACTCTCCCTGGATTTGTCACATTGAAGGAGAAAAAATGAAGTTAAATTTCTACCACGATTTTAGAATAGGCTATGTACCTTACTATAGCACAGACAAAAATGACTCCTGTCTATTATAATATAAACTATGTTTATGTCAGTGCTCCAAAGGAATAAGCTAACAAACAAGTGGTGAGGACAGGGGAGTGTTAGCCCACTCCCAGGACTGAATTCTAAAAACTAACAACATGGCAACAACAGTGTCCCTTACAGGCACCTTTTAAATCTATTTCGGACCCTACATAATTTATGTCAGACTTAATTCCATAGTAGCTTCCTGCCTCATACATCAGAGAGAGCGCTTTATGATGAAAGGTAAAACATGATGGTAAACTACCCAAACTGGCCAGGATTACTGAGGAGATCAAATAAAAGCACAGGTACAAATGATTTGAAGGCTTTGTAAAGTATTCTGCAGATGAAAGTACAGAGTAAATATTCCCTTTCTGAAATTCTGGGATCAGAACTGTTTGGATTCTGGATATTTCTTTTTTTGGAATATCTACATGTACACACAAGGATCTTGGGGCTGGATCCAAATCTAAACAGAAAATTCATTCATGTTTTCTATACACCTTAAACATACAGCCTGAAAGTAATTTTATGCAACATTTAAATTATTTTCTGCATGAAAACAAAGTTTGTGTTACCTTGAACCATCAGAGCTTGTGTGTGTCAGGGCCAGCACTCGAAAAAATTGGGATTTTGGAGCATTGGGTTTTGGATTTTTGGATATTTACATGTGACTCAAAATAGACTAACAACAGTGAAGGGCTGCAGCCACTCACCATGGCTGATCCTCATCAGTGGAATAGGGAAACAGGTGAAGAAGACTGTACCAAGGAGAAAGGGCTTCCTGCCCCACACATCAGAGAGTGCGCCTATGAGTGGAGCACTCAGAAAAGAGAGCAGGCCCTGGAGAAGAAAGGGAAGCAAAGGTTAGATTCAAATGAGATTACTTGTACTTCTTGTTTTCTACATGCATTAGCCCCAATTCACTTTATTAGTCCCCAAAACAATAATGTGAGATATTAAACTATTAAAAAAAATTTCTAAAAAAAACGTAAAAGGGAGGGGAGGAGATCTCAGCATGATGGCACATGATGTTATTCCAGGTACTTGGGAGGTGAGGTAGGAGGACCTTTCTAAGGCTGGTTCTAGCAAAGCACAAGACCCCATCCGAAAATCAAACAAATCAAAAGGACTAGGAGCGTGGCTCAAGTAGTAGAGTGTTTGCTAGCACAAGGCCTCAGTTTAATCTCCAGTACTGGGAAAATAAAAGGAGGTAAATAACTTCTCCCTCCCCCCAAAGAAAAAGAGAAAAAAATATATATTACAGTTTGGCCTTAAAATGAACACACAGCAAGTACATAGGAAGAAGCCAGAAGCTTAATTCATTTAAATAAATACACGGACATATCTCTTCTTTGCAAACCTCAGTATTAACTGGTGCAATAAGGACACCTGAATATATAGCGTATATAGGAAGAGAAAAGATAGGTGTGCATACACTAAAAGTCTGAAAGAAAAGCAGATTCTTTATTGATCAAAGACTGATGAATTGAAGAAAAAGGAAATAACCCTGTTTAACAGAGCTATGGCTAAGGGACGGCAGCTCTGAGAAGTTACTTCACTTAACACAGAAACTCATCTACTACTTGCCCATAACTGACCAGTGACTGCTGGCTCTGATCCAATCATTACTAAAGACAAGAGGTGGGAGGCAGTGATAGACGGGTGATGAGTACATGGCATGCATTATATTATTCTCTCCTTTTATGTATTTGAATTTTTATGAATACATTTAGTTAAAAAGTCCTGACAGCATACAAATAGGAAGCATCAAAATCTGCCCCTGGCACACATGTGCTTTGGCTATGTGCAATACTTGCAGTTTTCTGAATATATGATGATGCTTTGTGCCAATGGGCCTGTGTACAGGTCCCTGCTGTATCAGATACCCTTCCCACACCTGGAGCCAGTAAACTGCTAGTTGTGCTTCCTGACCAGGAGCAAAGGTGCATCTCTTCTATGATCTAGTCTGTTAGCTACTGAAGCAGAACTCATTACATGAATTCTTCTCCACGGGAGAAGGAGCACAACAAGCAAACAACCCCTGCCCAGTACATATCATTATAATTTTAACACTCCATTACAATTTCTTCTGACTATCTTCTGTATTGAATTGTGAAAACTGAGATTAATGTCAGAGGGATGAAAAGGACATCTCTGTACCCTCAGTGCTCAGGACAGCGTCTGGCATACAATGGTTTTCAAGGATGCCTGGTCAATTGGATAGGATTTTTAAGAGGACACAGGCCCAACAGAAGTTTCCAAGGTCACATGACTGGGAAGAAATAGGAATGGATTTCAACTCCCTACTAACAGTGGCTACCAGTTAATTCAGCAGAAATGTCCAGGACAAGGACATAGGTGAACTGAAATAAGGGAAATCAAGATGGAGACTCAGTGGAGGAGAGGCAGGCCGAAGAGAAAAACTTTCAGACACCTATGAAATAAAAAGTTTATCCACTGCCCAGGAATCAAAATGTGATTCTTGAGCCATAGTAAACTTCAAGGGAATTTGGTGTGTTCTCACATCAAGAGATAACTGATGGAGGATTAAATGATTTTTCTTTAATAACTGAAAGGCTATAGATGAGGGGCTCAAATTTAAACTTGTGGCAATCAGCTTCATGAATTTTAGAAAACCCTTTATGTTGCTTTAAAATTAAGTACCAAAGACCTGAGCACCTAGTACTGTATAGCTGGTCAAGAAAACAATGTAAAGAAATTTAAGGTGGCAAGGCACTAGAAAATAACAACTATCATCACTACCAAAAAAGTAGCAAAAACTTTTAAGTACAAAGAACCCAGAAACAGTTTTTGGACAGTTTGGATTTCAGATTTAATATAATGCTTAAATATGTGATGTGTTCTCCTCACCCCCCAACTCTTATCATGCTGGGGCTCAAACTCAGGCCCTTGGGCTTGGAAGGTAAGTATAAGTCCTCTTTTTTTTGAGACTGAGTCTAGCACTGTAGCTCAGGGTGCCTTCAACTCTTGATCCTCCTACCTTGCCTCTCAAGTGCTAGAATCACAGGCATGCGCCACCATGTCCAGCTAAAATATGTTCAACAAGTTTGAAAATCATCTATAATGGAAATGGGCAAATATATTATGGTATTGTTATCTAATAGAAAAGCAAATAATCATTGCAAATGCTGGTGATTCTATCTTTCTAAAATTTTTTTTGGTGGTACTGGGATTTGAACTCAGGGCTTTGTGCTTGCTAGGTAGGCACTCTACCACTGAGCCTCACCTCCAGCCCTTTATGCTTTAGTTATTTTTTCAGATTGGGTCTTGCGTTTTTGTCAGTGGCTAGCCTCAGACCATGATCCTCCTATCTAAGGCATTTTGCACAGCTGGGATCACAGACGCAAACACCACCCCTAGTTCATTGATTGAGAAGAAGTCTTGCTACCCTTTTGCCCAGGCTGACCTCAAAGCCTGGTTCTCCTGATTTCCACCTCCTGAGCAGCTGGAATTACAGATGTGAGTCACTGCACCCAGCCAGTCCTTGCTTTATATGGCAGTGTAGGACTGCCAAATGACCATGCAAAGTGATCTCAATAATCAATAAAAATACTTTTCAATAATCTTTAAAACTCTCTTATTGTCCTTACTAACCATTTTTGTGAAACAGTAAAACACACAGCTCACTTATTTTTCGAAATTGAGAATTACAGTACTTCTTTGTAAAAAAAAAAAAATACTAGAGGAGGATTCTAGGAAGATATCAGAGTACAGGGCGGTGATGTGATCGCGGTTGGGGGTTTCATTACCGGGGCGCGCGGAAGTCTGTGGGTTGTGGGTGTTTTTTTTGGTATAGTTTATGGTCCACGCGCTAAAGACGGGCTTTTGTGTGGTGGTGTGTAGGGCTGCCTGGAGGCATGCGGGTCGGGCTATTGTGGGTGTGGTGAGTGGGTATGGTCGTAACAGTTTAGTGTGCATCGATGGAGGTGGGATTGTGCTTGGCGTTTGGGGGTGGGTTGGTGGGTTGGGGTTTTGGTGGCCGGGTTGTTGGGGGGGGGGTTGGTTTGGTGAGTGTGTGTGGTGTTGGGTGGGTTGGTCGGGTGGTTTGGTATGGTTGGGTTGTTTGGGTCGGTTGTGCATTGTGTGTTGTGGGGTGTTGTGGGTGGTTCTTGGGGGGGGCTGGGGGTGGTTTGTGGTTGTTGGTTTTTTGTGTGTTTGGGTGTGGTGTTGAGGTGTGTGGGCCGAAAGCACACAGCGTCTGGGTCTCCGTCTATACCACAATGACAGTACTATTTTGACATTCTGGTGTCTATGGGAGGCTTACAATTTCTAGGGGCGGCTTATACAAGAAAAGTGCAATCAACTGCAGCTCTTAGCAACAGTGTCAGCTGCCTATTTTCTACCTCAGCTTCTGGCAGGCAGCTGAGCAGTGTTCCTGAATAACCTGCACTGTCCTTCAAATACTAGGGAGAGGTGCTGTGGTCACTGACTGCTACCTCTGATCTCAGAGTTCAAAGAGGCCATGGGTGCTACCCCTCCCCCTATGGCTGAAATGATTTTCAGGGGACTTAAAGGGACTTTTCCCCTTCCCTTTATTTTTCTTTTTTTCTTCTTTTTGGGGGCAGACATTAAAGATTAGGACATTCAAAAACAACTGTACATGTAGGAGTAATTATACACACTCAAAGGAAGGTGAGGTTGAGAATATACCTTAAGTTTATACCTCAGTCTGATCCTGGCCCAGAGCCAACGTAAAACAAAAATAAAACCATTAACAATAACAACAACAAAAAACTCTGAAGAGGAGAATCTGAGTCCCAGACTTAACATATTATTAGACTAAAATATCCAGTTTTCAACAACAATAACAACAAAAAAATCACAAAGCATACAGGAAGCTATGGCACATTTAAAGAAAAAAATAAAAACGGAAACTGTCCCTGAAAAAAACTTGATAGCAGATACACTAAACGAGGATTTTGAAACACCTGTCTTAAAGAGCAAAAAGATGATGTGGGGAAAACCAAGAAAATACATATGAACTAAATGGGAATATCAATAAATAAAAAACTTAAGAAGAAACAAGTCAGAAATGCTGGAGCTGAAAAAGTACAAACATGGAAAATTTAAAAATCACTAGGAGGATTCAAAGGCAGAATTGAGCAGGAAGAATCGGTGAACTAGAAAATTGGACAATGCAAACTACTGGGCCTGAGGAAAGAAAGAAAAAAAAGATTAAAGGAGATGAAGAGAGCTGAACGGCCCCATGGGACTCCATTAAGTGACTAAAATATGCACAGAGGGAGACCAGAAAGGAGAGAAAGGGGCAGAGAGAACACCTGAATAAATAATGCCTGAAAACGTCTAAATTTTGATGAATACAAATTCATCAAATTCATAAATTTTGTTTAAAGAATATAAACAACCAAGAAGCTCGATGAATTTCACAATAAACTCTGAAACCTATCCTGGTGCTCCTTATAGTTAAATTTTAAAAGTCAAGGAGGAGAAGAGAATGTTTCAAGATTCAGCAAGAGGAGACAATGCACGATGATCAGTGCATTTCTCCTGGATACTTGGGAGGCCAGAGGGCAGTGGGCTGATTCATTCAAAGTGCTCAAAAACAAAAACAAAACTTCAGGTGATTCCTTTTCAATTTCTTCTGCACACACACATGTGTATTACAATCTAATAACATGGTAAGTCTGGGAATGAGATTCTCCCTCTTCCCCAGAGTTGCTGGGGCTTTCCTATTTATTGGTCATTTCCAATTTATTGATTATTACTGATATTTCCATTTAGTTCATTTTCTTGACTTTCCCCTACCCCTTAGGCTCTGTAGGCTATACTATTTGTTTATGCTTTTTCAAACATTACATGGTGTTCTTAAAAAAATGTGTTCTTTATATGCTTGTATGATATATGGCTATATCACAATGCATTTAGTCTTACAATTTAAGGGCATTTATATTGTTTCCATGCTTACTAATAAAACAAAACTAAAATAACTCTTTATTAGAATCTCTGAATAATGCTATTGATTACAAAAAGTTTCTAGAAATGCAATCACTTCAATATGTGATTATGGCCCCCCATGGTGGTTGCTAGGGATTGAACCCAGGGTCTTGCACATGCAAGCCTAGGTCTCTCTCACTGAGTTAGATCCCCAACCTAACTTTATGCAGTGGCAGTATCAGTATTGTAGCCAATAAGGTTTATTTGAGGTGCAACTATTGTTCATTGAAAACTTTTTTTCATCTCCATCCCTATATGAATATTTAAATTTTTGGTGGTAGCAGGGAGCAAACCAGGACCCTGTACATGCAAGGCAAGCACCAGCCCATACTGTTGGGCTACATTCCCAGCCTGAATACTATTAAAGGTCTTACAATACAGCATTCCAGAAAGGCTGTACCAATTTATGCTTGTATTAGTACCTTTTTTACTCAACTGAATAAATTAATTCTTGTCAGTTTAAGCTTTTTTTTTTTAAACCAACTTAATATGTAAACTATATTCTGATTGAACTTAGTGTCTTTTGTTACTTTTAGACTGACATCTTGTAAACTGCCAGCTTACATTCTTTGTCATTCTGGGGTTATCAGTCATTTTCTTAGGGTTGTATTCTAAGAGCACTTCCACATCGAGAACAGTATTCTCCCATCTGTTAATGCTACAAATAACATTTTTTTCATTTGTCTTTCAAATTTGATGATGGTTGTTCTGGCTTACTGAAGTTTAGACTATTGATGTAACCAACTCCACTTTTCCTTTATGAATTCCCTTTCTAAAATCTAGGAAAAAATGTTCAGTAATACATATTCCATTCTAGTAAGTTTCTTGTTTCTGTTTACACATTTTCCTTTGCAGCACTGATTTAGAATACTAGACGTGCTCTAATGACTGCACCGTGCTGGTGGCTGCATATATGATCTCATTTAATACTCATAACCACCTTAGTACAAAGTGCTTTGGTCTTTCCCCTTTCCCGAATAATGAAACTGAGGCTTAGGGAGATTAAATTACTTGGGAAAAAAATGAATGCTAAAGTGCATTCCACTGTGCTCATATGCATGTAAAGAAATTTTAATGGAGCTGTATACCTCTATCACTGAAAAAAATAACCAATTTAAAAACTTTTAAATCCTTATTGCAGTTGAATTCTTGAAGCTCAGCATTACTGAAGTTCATTAAGCCTTTACTCAAGTCCTTGAATACACTGAAAACCTTTTTCTTTCTTGTTTTCTAGAATGATATGGACATTCCAAGATGAAGCAAAGAATGTTGCTCATCTCTGGTGGATGGATGCAGTTAATTTTGCTTGCAGAGCCAGACACTTATTATTTTTTTTAATAAAATTTTTATTAGGATATATTCATTATACAATGAGAGTATTCATAGTGACAATTCCGATTAAGTTTATATTGTACATTATTTACATTGCCCCTATCATCTCTCCCCCTCACCCTCCTCCTATTCTCTTTTTTTTTAATTTTTTTATTATTCATATGTGCAAACAATGCTTGGATCATTTCTCCCCCCTGCCCCCACCCCCTCCCTTACCACCCACTCCGCCCCCTCCCTCTTCCCCCACCCCTTCAATACCCAGCAGAAACTATTTTGCCCTTATCTCTAATTTTGTTGTAGAGAGAGTATAAGCAATAATAGGAAGAACAAGGGTTTTTGCTGGTTGAGATAAGGATAGCTATACAGGGAGTTGACTCACATTAATTTCCTGTGCGTGTGTGTTGCCTTCTAGGATAATTCTTTTTGATCTAACCTTTTCTCTAGTTCCTGGTCCCCTTTTCCTATTGGCCTCAGTTGCTTTTCAGGTATCTGCTTTAGTTTCTCTGCGTTAAGGGCAACAAATGCTAGCTAGTTTTTTAGGTGTCTTACCCATCCTCATATCTCTCTTGTGTGCTCTCGCTTTTATCATGTGCTCATAGTCCAATCCCCTTGTTGTGTTTGCCCTTGATCTAATGTCCGAATATGAGGGAGAACATACGATTTTTGGTCTTTTGGGCCAGGCTAACCTCACTCAGAATGATGACTTCCAATTCCATCCATTTACCAGTGAATGGTAACATTTCATTCTTCTTCATGGCTGCATAGAATTCCATTGTGTATAGATACCACATTTTCTTAATCCATTCGTCAGTGGTGGGGCATCTTGGCTGTTTCCATAACTAGAGCCAGACACTTAAAATATTTTATCACCTTCTCCACAAGACAAACCATCTGCTAAACAACTTTCCCCAGAACATACTGTCAGGATATGTTTACACACTGTGGTTTCATGGTACTCTCTCTCTCTTACTTACTTTTTCTTTTTATCTATGGTGCTCACAAACTAGTACTAAACAACCCCTCAACAGATTTTTGGTGATATTCTTCTTCCTTTTAGTAAGTATTAAGAACTTGTTTTAACATTTAAACTGTCTTGTTTTACATATGTTATGATTATCAGTATCCTCAATCCTTTCTGAAAATAGGCAAGGACTAAATGATATTCATTATAGCTAATGCTGCTCAAAGCTGGGAATCCAACAAATTCCTATGGCCGAATCCAGCAAATTATTAGGGCATAATTTTAAGTATGTTACTCAGTACAAAGTTTATTTAATGACAGAATAATAGTATCTAAGCTGAGATGGACAAATTAGACCTGATACCCATATTCTTTATGATAAAGCAAGACTAGAATATACCATTATTTTTTAACTTATTTGCAAACTTTTCTGATATATGTAATATTAAAACTGAAATAATGAATTAGCCTAACTAAAGCAAGTGGTTAAGAACTTAGCAAAACCATGGCTTCAGCATTAATCTGACCAAAGTCTAAATATCCAACTGAATTCTGATTTTCCTTCTTCCTCAGTCTCAAAGTTTACCTAAAAGTGAACAATTGCCTACTTTATTCTGTTGCTAGGCAGAGCAGTTAAGTAAAGGTTCATATAATAATCAAACACTATAAATTGCTGTGTACATATTAATAAAAATAAAGTGAGGCCTACAGGGTATTCACAATGCTTTTAACAGCAAACTATTCTACCTATACCTTACATATTTGTGTTTTATTTTATTCTGATTTTGGTAACCCAACTAAAAATTTACATTTAAGTCTCCAGAACAAACAGTAATTGTTTCCCTAAGACCCACTTAAGCCTCCAGAGTTAAACTACTAAGGATTCCTGAATTTGGTCTATTATGATCCACACAAAAATTGTTCTTACCTTTACACCCTGAATGAGACCATTCATAAGGAATGTGTGTTGAGGAAATGTTTCGTGTAGAACCTGCAAAAAAGCAAATAAACATCAGGATATATTCAAAATGTACATTAAAAGAAAAGATTTCTGCCTCTATTAATGGCAAGCTACATAATGAAAAATTATAAACTATTAATGGAAACTTAAAGGCATGAAAAGGTAGTAAGACAGTGAGGCAAAAATCTAATAAGGCAAGAACCCCAAAAGTTCTAAGTTGCTTCTGGAAGGAAGCATTTGTGGCAAAAATGTGTTATTTATTGATTACTCCCTTAAACTCCAACTTTATGTGGATACCCACAGAGGGTATGTACCCAGCTTCATTACACCTACAATGTCCAGAAAGAACTTCAAACCTTACATTTGTATTACAATGGCTCTAGACTGGCACCACCACCAAATGCTTAGAAGAAAAGCCTAAAATCACTTCAGAAAAGGCCATGATCTGGCTTCAAATTGAAAACACATATATTCTTTTCAAATATAATTACCAGCACCTTACCAAAGATGAGCATATATAAAAGGAAAAGAGATACTAAGAAACAAATACTAAAAACAAAAATAAAGCAAAATATTTGCAAAAAAAAAATCTGATAAACAATTGCAGACTGGAGTGTGGCTCAAGTGGTAGAGTGCCCTACTTTGCAAGCAAGAAGCTCTGAGTTCAAACCCCAGCTCCATTAAAAAATAAATAAAATTAAAAAACAGAAACAAACAAACAAAATTGCTAGCTAAATTTTACAAAGTAGTACTAAGGCGTAAAATAAGAAAACTAACAACCTGCTTAGCTGGTAAGATGGTAAACAAGCACATGAAAAGAAGATATCGTTTAATCAGCAAATGCAAATCAAAACAGATACCACAACACAGCTATTAGCATGGCCAAGATCCAGAATACTGACAATACAAATGCTAATGTGGATACTGACAATACAAATGCTAATGTGGACGTGGGGCAAGCTTTCATTCACTGCTCCTGGGAATATAAAATGGTCCAGACACTCTGAAAGACAATTTGGTGGATTCTTACCAAGGGTGCTCCCAAAGGAGCTGAAAACTTGTGTCTGCACAAAAACCTGCATGCAGATGTTTACAGTAGCTTCTATAACTGCCAAATCATAGAAGCAAAAAATGTTCTTCAGTAGCATAGGTGGCACACATAGATTATTGCTAAGTGAGTTACCAAGCAATAAAGGCATGGAGGAATCATAAATGACTATTCCTGAGCAAAAGAAGCCAATGTGAAAAAGCTACCTACTGTAACATGACAGTCTGGAAAAGGCAACACTACAGAGGATGATAAAAAGATCATTAACTGCCCGGGGTTGGGAAGCAGGATATAGAGGACATTAGCAGTGCAAGTATTCTGGATGATACTCCAATGTGGATACATGTTATTATACATCTGTCAAAACTCTTGAGAATATAAAACACAAGAAGAGAATCCTAGCAGGGTGTGGTGGTTCATGCCTATAATCCCAAGACTAGGGAGGCTGACACAAAAGGATCTAGAGTTTGAGGCTGGCCTGGTGGTGAGACTGACTCAAAAAAAAAAAATTGTTATAGAACCTCCCTTATAACAATTCTACAAATGAAAAATGGTGACCCAAGCATGCAATCCCTTTACGCACTTAATATCCACGTGTGAATGACATGCATTTACTGAGTTGGGCAACAGACTCAATAGATCTATTGGTATTTCTGGGACTGTGGGACTGTTTCTGGGCAAGTAATCCACCATGCAAGCAACTCCTCTAAAAGCTTTCAATCTGCGTTTTGAAAACTTTTCATAGCAGGTGTGGTGGTGCACACCTACAATCCCAGCACTTGGGAGGCTGAGGCAAGAAGGATCCTGAGACTGAGGATAGCCCGAACTACATAATGAGTTCAAGGTGACACTGGGCTATATAGTGAGACCCTGTCTAAAAAGACAAAACTAAACAATCCTAAAACTAAAGACAAAAACAAACCTTTTCTGTTCTCCATTTCCCCCCTCAATAAGAGAAATGTTGATCCAATTAGAGAAATATGTAAAACAAGTCAATAATTTTTAAAAGGGCTAAAACTTTATATGTAGTGCAATTGTAAATAAAATAGCAATTCTATGCAGTTTATAAATTTAAAATCCAAAATAAAGTCTACAAATAATTTAACTACAAAAGATAATTAATATCAGAATAAAGGGAGCCTAATTTTTAATTTTATTTTACCGCTTTACAGTTACTCACATGTGTATACACTGTCTCCCCCTATCCCGCTTCCAGGCAGAATCTGTTGCACCCTATTCTCTTCCAATTTTGTTGAAGAGATAATAAAGACACAGCATTTTTGCTAGTTTGAGATAATCTCTCTGCTATACAGAGATTCCTAGTGTTGCTTCCATGCACTTGTGTATTGCAACCCACACTGGTTCATCTCTGCCTGACCTCTTCACTATTTCCTAGTCCCCTTCCCACTGTGGCCACTGCCAGTTTAAGATTATTATATTCGCTCCTCTACATTGAGTATATCAACTACATTCAAGTTTTAGGTTTCTTTCCCTTTCCCTATTCCTCCCGTGCGCATTCTCCCCTTCATGTGTGACCCATGTCAATAATATTACTGCATTTGTTCTGGATTTGTATAGGAGGGAGAACATGTGATTTTTGGTCTTCTGAGCATGGCTAACTTTGCTTAAGATGATGTTCTCCAGTTCCATCCGTTTACTTGCAATGATAACATTTCATCCTTCTTTGTGGCTGAATAAAATAAAATTGTGTATAAATACCACATTTTCTTAATCCATTCATCAGTAGTGGGCATATTGGCTGTTTCCATAGCTTGGCTATTGTGAATAGTGCTGCAATAAACATGGGTGTGCAGATGCCTTTGCAATGACCTGAGTTGCATTCCTTCGGGTATATCCCTAGGAGTGGTATTGCTGGATCATATGGCAAATCTGTGTTTAGTTTTTGTTAAGAAGCCTCCATATTGTTTTCCAAAGTAGTTGTACTAGCTTACATTCCCACCAGCAATGTATGAGGGTTCGTTTTTCCTGCATCCTCGCCAACATTTGTTATTGGTGGTGTTTTTTGATGATAGTTATTTTAATAGGAGTGACGTGGAATCTTAGTGTGGTTTTGATTTGCATTTCCTTTATGGCCAAGTGATGGTGAGCATTTTTTCATGTGTTTTTTGGCCATATGAACTTCTTCCTTTGAAAAAGTTCTGTTTAGTTCAGTTGCCCACTTCTTTATTGGTTCATAAATTTGGGGGGAGTATAGTTTTTTGAGCTCCCTGTATACTCTGGTTATTAGTCCTTTATCTGGTATATAGCTAGCAAATATTTTTTCCTACTCTGTGGGTGATCGCTTCATTTTAGAGACCATTTCTTTTGTTGTGCAGAAGCTTTTTAATCTCATGTAGTCCAATTTGTCTCCTTTCTCTTAGTTGCTGGGCTGCTGGAGTTCTACTGAGGAAGTCCTTGTCTATATGTTTGCTTCCAGAGTATTCCCTGATCTTTCCTGTACTAACTACAAGGTTTCAGGTCTGACATTAAGGTCTTTAATCCACTTTGAGTTGGTACTAGTACAGAGTGATAAGCATAGATCTAGTTTCAGTTTTCCACAGGCAGATAACCACTTTTCCCAGCCACATTTGTCGCAGAGGCTGTCTATTCTACATCGTATGTTTTTTGGTGCCTTTGTCAAAAGTAAGGTGGGTGTAGCTGTGTGGATTCCTATCTGGGTCCTCTATTCTGTTCCACTGGTCTTCATATCTGTTTTTGTGCCAGTAACATGCTGTTTTTACTGCTATGGCTCTGTAGTATAGTTTGAAGTCGGGTATTGTGATATCTTCAGCATTGCTCTTTTTGCTCAGTATTGCCTTGGTGGTCCTTTGTGTTTCCAAATGAACTTTAGGGTAGATTTTTCAATCTCTGTGATGAATGTCGTTGGGATTTTGATGGGAATTGTGTTGAACATGTAGACTGCTTTTGGTAGGATAGCCATTTTTACTATGTTGATTCTGCCAATCCACGAGCATGGGAGATCTTTCCACCTTCTGTATTCTTCAGTGGTTTGTAGTTCTTCTTGTAGAGGTCATTTATATCCTTTGTTAAGTTTATTCCTAGGTATTAGGTTTTTTTGAGGCCATTGTAAATATAATTGTTTTCCTATATTCTTTCTCAATTTGTTCACTGCTGGTGTACAGAAAGGCTACTGATTTTTGTAAGTTGATTTTGTATCCTGCTACATTGCTGAAGCTGTTTATGGTATTTAGGAGGTTTTGGGTGGAGTTTTTTGGGACTTTGAGGTATAGGATCATGTCATCTGCAAATAGGGATACTTTGACAGTTTCTTTACCTATTTGTATCCCTTTTATTTCTTCTTCTTGCCTTATTGCTCTGGCTAGGAATTCCAGGACTATGTTGAATAGGAGTGGGGAGAATGGGCATCCTTGTCTTGAGGAAGCCTAATTAATTATGAAAGAATTGTCAAATATCTGAGGTAAGATCAAGGCTTTCACAGGGTGCCATAGCTCACATCTGTAATCCCAATTACTCAGGAAATGGAGACAAGGAGATACCAGTTCGAGATCAGCCCTACCAAAAGTTAGCAAGACCTCTTCAAGATCGATAAGCTGGGCAGCTAGCTACACAGGAAGCTGTAGGTTGGAGGATTACAATCTGAGGCTGACACAGAGCAAAAATGCAAAACTCTACCTGAAAAATAACTAAAGCAAAAAAGGTCTGGTGGGGGGTGTGGCTGAAGTGGTAAAGCACCTGCCTAGCAAGAGCAAGATCCTGAGTTCAAACCCCAGTACCACCCTCCCAAAAAGATCAAGGCTTTCATTTTTAACATCTCCCTTTAAGAAAATCTCAAAGAAGATATTTCTAATTATTTTTGAGGACTACAGTAAATGTAAAATACAATGGCGTTTGTTAATCACTTTAAAAAGTTTTGAGAATGGAACTGTTTACTAGTACAATAAAACATGTGTAAACATATACTACACATCACAGACAGATCTGTGTTTCTTTACTTCCACAT